CCCATTCCCCCACGCCGTTTCTCCACAAATGATGGCATACCGCGCGTGCTCCTCGGGCGTGCACAGCGTGCACCTCACATATCCCCATTCCCCCACGCCGTTTCTCCACAAATGATGGCATACCGCGCGTGCTCCTCGGGCGTGCCGGGGAACCACGTCTCGCGGAGCAGCGCGCGCTTCCTGCGGTTTTTGAAACCGGTCTGCACCCCGACGAACCCCAGCACGCGCTTCCTGCCCGGGTACCGCAACCGATCTGCACTCCTCTCGTCATTCATCCCTCGCGCGTCCGCATCATTCATCCCTCGCGCGTCCGCGTCATTCATCCCTCGCGCGTCCGCGTCATTCGCCCCTCGCGGCGTGTCCCCATCGTCCCTCCCTCGCAAGCCCACCCCGTCCATCCCTCGCGGCGGGTCCGCAAAGAATTCGACCGCGGCCTCGGTCGCTGCGTCAACCGGCGGCGGCGGCGGCATTAAGTCGGATTCAGTTCTGGTATTCATCCAATGATGGGAAGCACCGGCAGAGCAGCTGTATCGGAGCACGAGGACGTAAAAAAGGACGAAGAGTGGGACGGCTAGGAGCAGGAAGACGGACCAGGACACGCGCCATGACGTCAGCACGGCGCGCGGCGCGACGGACTCGTGACTCCCTTTGAAGCTCATCAGCTGGTGGTGGTAGTAAAGGCAACTTTTGAGGCGCCTCAAAAGCTCATCAGCTGCTGGTGGTAAAGTATGGAGAAGTGTTTTGAGACGTCTCAGGACGCCTGATTCCCTTTGAAGCTCATCAGCTGGTAGTAGTAGTAAAGGCAACGGTCCGACCGTTGGATATTTCACGACCGACTTTTCCGGGAGAAAATCGAAAGCTACGAGATGGCGGGTTGAGGTTATTGTTGGGAAAAGAAGTCGGAAAATCAGTTCTACGAAGCAGCTTTGGATTTGCGCGCTGCTTGTACTAGTACTGCCTTCCGCACTCCGTCTGCCGGTGAACGTCGGTCCCCCCACCCCACGCAACAACGTCGATAGACGCCTAGCCGTCATCTGACCGCTGGCAGGTACAAACAACTGAAACGACGGTTACCTACCGTGTTTAGGCAAATGCCATCCATTGCTTTGCCAGCGGGAAGCTGCCTGAACGACGGGTTGTCTTGACGGCCGGATTAAACTCCCTGAAATTCACTGTACAGTTCCGTACTTATCTGCCCGTCAGCCGAGTGAGTTGAAATTAGCGCGCGGAGGAGAAAGAATCGCCAGGCCTTTCTGCTGGCAGTGGCTACTGACACCGCATTCCACCACGCCTGGTCTTTTCTGAGTCGGTTCAAAACGCATCCCACCACTTCTTCACCTGTGCCGGCCGCCACGATTTTTGCCCTACGAACTCTTGCACCAACCTCACCCGATTTTCTACGCGATATAGCATTGCAATATGAATACCTTTTCAGGATTATGGTGGAATGAGTTTGGGTACATGATAATAATTTAGTGGGTGATATAATGTTCCCATATAATTATGGGGGTTAACTACGAAACAGACCACATAAGCTACCCAGTAGTCTTCAATGGGAAAGAGGGAGTATTTTAACTGGGGAATTATGTACATCTTGGGCTTAAGGTTGCCCAATGCTAATAGTGAGTAGTGTATCGTGTGGGTGATCATCCCATCATTGTTGCTAGTACTGTCGTCCAGCACAGAATTCAAATCAGGGTTCGTTCCTGCTAGATAATCTCACACTCTTGCGAAAGATTATCCAACCAAAACGGGTGGCCGTGATGACGTAAACGGGCTTGGCACTGGAAGTTTCCCAGCGCAAGCAGGGTTTTTATGAAACTCCTTCATTCGCACATCAGGATTGCACACGCCGGAGCACCTGGTATCCCAGATAGCCACAGCAGTGGGAATGCAACTTGTCTGGCAGAGAGACATGGCTTTCTGATGCGACACGTTAAAGGCGAGCATCCATGCTCCCACACTCGCATCCTCGTTCACAAACACCCTCAGCCTGCGACCGTGAGGGAAACGAGACGGGAGATTGGAGATGGGAGAACAAGGTACGGCTTTTCAGCAACAAGGAACTTTTGAGGCGAGCATCCATGCTCCCACACTCGCATCCTCGTTTACAAACACCCTCAGCCTGCGACCGTGAGAGCAACGAGACGCAAGATGGGAGAACAAGGTACGGCTTATGAGCAACAGGGTACGACTTTTGAGCAACAGGGTACGACTTTTAAGGCGAGCATCCATGCCCCCACACTCGCATCCTCGTTCACAAACACCCTCAGCCTGCAAGGATAAGAGTTGGGACAATACAGAAACAGAGATGGGAGAGCAAGAGTTGGGCTTAAAAACTCAAAACACCCCTTTCTTGACAGTGCTTGTACTGAATCGTACAATATCTGTCAGAGAACCTCTCCCTCGCAGTGCCTGCCTGCCTGTTGAGTGTATTGGCTGTCGACCACTCACACCCCACCTCATTGAACAATAAGCACAGCCCTCCTCGTCACAAGGCATGCACAGCCCTCCTCGTCACAAGGCATGCACAGCCCTCCTCGTCACAAGGCATGCACGGCCCTCCTCGTCACAAGGCATGCACGGCCCTCCTCGTCACAAGGCATGCACGGCCCTCCTCGTCACAAGGCATGCACGGCCCTCCTCGTCACAAGGCATGCACGGCCCTCCTCGTCACAAGGCATGCACGGCCCTCCTCGTCACAAGGCATGCACGGCTCACCTCTCCTCACCCACCCTTGCGAGTGGAGTTGAAAATATTTGCAAGGCATGACTCAGCGATCTAGAGAAATCTCAGCAAGCCCACCAGCCATTGGGGAGGAAGTTGAGAAGTCGCCTCAAAACGTGCACGGCTCACCTCTCACCCACCCTTGCGATGCGAGTGGAGTTGAAAATATTGGCAAAGCATGACTCAGCGATCTAGAGAAATCTCAGCAAGCTCATTAGCCCTTGGGGAGGAAGCTGATGAGTTTTGACCACGTCGAACGAGAGGGAGTAGATGGGTCTAGAAGAGCAAGTAGATGGGTCCAGTCCAGACACGTACTAATACCGCTCACCTCGTTGCATGACAGGCGCAACTCACCAGCCCTTGGGAAGGAAGCTGATGAGTTTTAACCACGTGGTACAAGAGCAAGAAGATTGGGTCCAGACACGTACGTGAAATACCATGCACGGCTCACCTCGTTGCAAGGCAAGTAGATCTCACCAGCCCTTGGGGAGGAAGTTGAGAATTTTGACGACGTCGTAGGAGAGGGAGTAGATGGATCCGCACGCGTACTTGAAATACTCCGACCCCAGCAGCCACGCCTGGGGCTCAAACCTGCACATCAGAGCAAAACACACACACACACAAAAAAATAAAAAAAATAACAAAAAAGGCTTTATTTAGGCGCCTCAAAGGTGGCGTACAGGTGGTACTCTGACCCCAGCAGCCACGCCTGCGGCTCAAACCTGCACAGAAGAGAACCAAGAAGAAAGCGGAAAGGAAGCCGAGGTAGAGGTTAGGGACGAGTAGGAGAGGGAGTAGATGGATCCTTTGGCGTACTTGAAATACCGTTGCTGCACTGTTTGCGAGATAGCTCACGATAACAGCAGGAGAGGTCGTCCAGCTTGGCTGCATGCATTTCGAAACATTGGGAACACTAGGAAGACTAGTAAGAACACTAGGAAGACTAGGAAGACTAGTAGGAACACTAGGAACGCTAGGATGATCCGACTGCTTCAGAAACGAGTACACTGTATGCTGCATGGTCCAGGAGAGCAGTCAAAAGGAGTGCCAGCGAGCGTGACCTAGGTGTAATACGCCAACTCACCACTTCTTCTTAGGGTTAGTAATCACATATCCCTTTTTGAAGCATCCGAGGTACGTTCGAGGTGACTCCCTTGGCTTGGCGATCAGAGAGGAGAGGCGCTCTGCAGGGGTGCACAGAAACAGGCAGCAGAGGAAGGGAGGGTGTGAGAGCAAGGACTCTCAGTATCGTCACCAGCAACGTATGACCCTCATCATCAGAGCATGAGCGCAGCGCATCACATGCCACGCCTCGCGTATGACCCTCATCACCAGAGCACGAGGGCATCACATCACATGCCGCGCGTATGATCCTCATCCTCTTCTTCGTAGAAATATTTTCAACGCACACACAAGAGCTCTTAAAACCCAGCTACACAGAGCCTGGGAAGATGATATAAGTAGATGTGAGATGTAAGGCGGGCTCACCTGGCATTAGGAAGATGTCGTCGCCTGCCTGCCTTCAAGCCCTGCTTCATGGTATTTGTCAAGTAGATGGGCGCACCTGGCATTAGGAAGATGTCGTCGTCTGCCTTGACGTAGTGCTCGGCTTCATAGAGAGGCTGGGAAGATGATATAAGTAGATGTAAGATGTAAGGAGGGCGCACCTGGCATGAGGTAGATGTCGTCGTCTGCCTTGACGTAGTGCTCGGCTTCATAGAGCTTGAAGAGAGATGTGAAGTACACGAGACTGGGGGATGGGGGATAGGGGATGGGGGATGGAAATGACGGGAGCAGGATGGGGAAAGGAGTGCTGAGTGTTTCACAATGCTTCATAGAGCTTGAAGAGAGATGTGAAGTACACGAGACTGGGGGATGGGGGATAGGAAATCATGAGAGCAGGTGGAGAAATTCATGCGAGCCTCTCACATCGCCATCACTCGAGCCTCTCACATCGCCATCACTCGAGCCTCTCACATCGCCATTACGCGAACCCCTTACGTCTTGCAGCTGAGACTGAGGTACGCCTCTCGCACGTCGCGACTTCAAGTCTACTCAAAAGTCACCACGTTACAATGGCACGGCACATGCCCTTACGTCTTGTGGTTGAGATTGAGGTACGCCTCTCAAAAGTCACCACGTTACAATGGCACGGCACATGCCCTTACGTTGCAAGCAGCAAGCAAGCGAGCTTCTTACGTCTTGTGGTTGAGATTGAGGTACGACTCATCGACGTCGATGCGAAGGAAGTCCCCGTGAGTGCTGTTCTCCGCCTGCAGCAGCTGCTCGTCCTCCTCGCTCGTGCTGTGCCCAATAATGAACCGGAACACCAGCCCCGTCTCTGCTTCCACCCTGAGCAAGACGCAGAGGTTGGCGGGCGGCAGTGTGCGGGTGGGGAGGGAGGGAGGAGGGGGGAGAAAGAAGCCATGTCTTATCGTTGCAGCTCCTCTTCCTCCGTGCTCGTCCCATGCCCGATGATGAACCGAAACACCAGCCACACGTCGCTGCTTCCACTCTGAGAGACACGCCAAACGGTGTGAGTGTGTGGGGGGGCGAGGGGAGAGGGGGGGGGGAGAAGAAAGGGTGGGGCAGAGAGGGCACATCTCCTCGCTCACCACTGCGCTCCCGCCGCGCCCTCCAATGATGGACCGGAACACCAGCCCTTTTTCTGCTTCCGCGCTGAAAGATATGTTCATCGGAGGGGAAGGGCAGGGGAAAGTGCTGGGAAGGCACATCCCATCCGACCGCATCCCACCGCCTCCCACCGCATCCCACCGCATCCCATCGCATCCCACCGCATCCCACCGCATCCCATCGCATCCCATCGCATACCACCGCATCCCTTCGCATCCCTTCACATCCCAACACTTCCGGGAGACCTCAAAAGTCTCTTTCGCAAGATAAATCCGAAAGAGCCGTCGCCGCTTCCAATCTACATGCACCTCAAATGCCCCCACGACGCCCATGCCCTCTACTCCATGCCCCCACGCCGTTTCTCTATGAATGGCCTACCGCGCGTGCTCCTCGGGCGTGGCGGGGAACCACGTCTCGCGAAGCAGCGCGCGCCTCTTGCCGCTGCCGAAACCGGTCTGCACCCCGACGAACCCCAGCACGCGCTTCCTGCCTGGGTACCGCAACCGATCTGCACTCCTCTCGTCCATCCCGCCTGGAGATTCCGCCATCGGTCCGACCGGCGCCGGTGCGGCTGCGGCAACGGGCTGTAGCTCCGCGGATTCATTAGCGCCGCTCGCTGCGGCAATAAACTGTAACTCGACCGAACCATTCGTCGCAGTCGCTGCGGCAATCGGCTGTAGTAACTCGGCGAGTTCGTTTCTCGCGGCCGCTACGGCAAGCGGCTGTTCTAACACAGACGATCTGAGAACGAGGATGTCTAAAAGGAGAAAGAAGAGCACGGCTAGTTGGAGCAGGAAGAGGGACCAAGACACGCGCCATGACGTCACCTGTGGCTCGACGGATGTCTTGACCTCGGAGCCCATCAGCTGGTAAAGCAATGAAATGACTTTATTTGGATCTTTCAGCGGCTTACTAAGGCGTTTGAGTCGTTGAGTTAGTAATAAGGCGTTTGAGCGGTCTAAATCCAGCCAATGGTCCGACCTTAGAGTCTTTCTTGGATCTGTGCGGCGAATTGTATTGGCACTGATCAGTATGGTGCTACTACAACGAATATCGAGACCGAACTTGCACTGCAGGGAGAATCTTTATGGTACCGAGTCGGCCGGAATAGCTCCGCGGATTGAAGCTCGTTTGTGAAGGAGACGAAAATCTCGGTCCCGCGCAGCCATTATTTGGATCGGAGCACACACCTTCACCTTCACCAGAAATCGTCCCTTGCTGACCAACATCGGGCTCCCCCCCCTCCCCCCCCTCCTTTCCCCCACGTTCGGCATTGAATGTCTATGCCCGCCAGTCAACTGACCGCGGGCAGAAACAATATAAAGTCCCATCGCGATGGGACAACACGCGTGTTTTGAGTGGATGCGCTTGCCGTCAAAATCGAGAAAGCTGATGGGATGTCCGTCAAAGTCAGTCAGTTTTTTTTTACGGCCCCGACCTGACTGATCAGCTATCTGGGAAATGGGGTGCTTCACAGTCTGTGACTTGGCCAGTCAACTGTGGTCCGTCGGTGAGAGCTGAAATTTCTCTGTGACTCTGTGCGGACAAAAAGGAATGGTGGTGCTCCGTCCGTACCCTGGCAGTGGCTGCTGCCACCACATCCATGATTCGGATCGGAGGAGCACACAAACCATACTCAACACTTGCTGCTCGAGGCAAACTCGAAAATTTAGTCGCTGTAGGTATTTCTACGGAAAAGTGCCAAGAAACCACATAGCTTACCGAAGATCCCAAGGGTTTGCCGTTGAGTCAGGGTTTAGGGGCGTTTCACACGTGACCAAAAAGTCACGCACATGCAACTTCACAGTGACGCGAAGTTGAAAGTTGTAAGGTTGGGCTCGACATAGCAACGAGAGTGGTTGAAAGTGTTTAAAGGCGATGCATCAGGGGTGCTTTTGATCACCTTCTCTGATGCTCCCAGCCTCACCATTCAATCCCGCTGCTCCCACCGCTTCTCTCAACTTTCTCGCCTTCACCACAGAAACTGTCCCTCCCTACGCCTGGCTCCCCCCCACACCGTTGACATCGACATCGATGCCTGTCAGTCAACTGACCGCGGGCAGAAACGACTAACGGGATCCTGTACAGTTCCCGGTGTTTTGGGTGGATTCCTCCTGCGCTTGCATCAAAATGCCTATGGGCCGTCCGGTCGGGTGTCCTCTCCTCTGCTCTCTTGCCATTGGAGAAGCCGAGGGGACGTCGGGGTTGCATTGACAACCTGACAAATTGCCTGTCTGCGAGATGGGGTACCTTCTCTGTCTACGACTGGGGCCAGGTCGGTGAGGGCTGAAATTTTAATGTGCGGACAAAAGGAATGGTGGTGCTCTGTGTCCTGGCAGTGTCTGATTTCAACGCATCCCACCACGCCGACTGTTGTTTAAAGCCAGGATCTCAAGTAAGAGAATTGGCCTTCAATTGCAAAACACTTGCAGCGCTTGTTACCCTATTTTTGTAGGCGAATTGACTGGCTGGTTAGGAAAGTGAGCGTGCGGCACACCCACGATTTTGCCCCTAGAGCAAATGCAAAACATTTTGCTGGTACATGAGATTGTTGTGTGTGACGAGAAATTGCAGGCATTGGAGCTTCGTCACCGAACCAGTTTCCGAGCCTTGCTTGGTTCGGACTGAATTTGCGATTTGTCTTTACTTCGCACCCCTCGCTTCACACCTCGTCAGATTGTTCACCTCGCTAACCAATCGCAGCCCAGCTCCCCTCACCAACTGCAAAACAATTGAACTACTTGAGATCCTGGCTTTAAAGCTTTCGTATACATTTGAAAGTACTGTTTGTGGTGGAACAGTAGCCACCAAGATTTCGCCCCAACGAAAAGAAAGGTGCTTGGCGAGAGGGGTTGCGAAAATTTGGAGGATTGAGGGGTGGGAACACGAGAAACTCTCCCGTCACCCAACCCTTGAGCGACACTCACAAACGCAAGTATAAGCAACTAATTACTAGGAAAGGCCTTGATAGAACTAGCAGCGCAACTACTCACCCTGACCTAATCGCCCGTGGTAAGGGGACACGGGGCTATACAAAAGCCTTTAGCTGCAGGGGCGGTTTGCATTCGGATGGGCCGTCGCGTAGCATTCGTCGAGCGATGCCATGCGGCACACGGGCGAGCGCCTCGACGAGTTGCATTATGCTGGCTCGCTGCGATGCAATCGTCGAACCAGCGATAAATTATTCAGTGAGCCGTCGCGTTCCACCCTGCGGGCTTCTCGCCTAGCGCCATTATGCATCACGAAACCCGCTGATGGCGAAACCCGCTGATCGCAATACCCGCTCCTCGCCAAACACGGTGCTCGCGAAATCCGTTTAGCGCGTCACCCGCTTCTCGCCTCACCCGCCGCATGCCTCACCTGCGAATCGGCAAAATACTTGCCTCACGCGCTGCTTGGCTCATAACCTTATTTCGTCATTTCCCCCCCTTCCGCCTCTCGTTTCCTCAATCTCGTTTCCCCCCCTTCCGCCTCTCATTTTCCCGGAGCTCCTCCCTCTCGTTTCCCCCCTTTCTCCCTCTCGTTCCCCCCCCCCCTCCGCCTCTCATTTTCCCCCCTTCTGCCTCTCGTTTCCCCCCCTTCTCCATCTCGTTTCCACCCATCCTCCCTCTTGTTTCCCCCCTCCACCCACTCGTTTCCCCCCCTTCTCCCTCTCGTTCCCCCCCCATCCGCCTCTCCTTTCCCCCCCTTCCGCCTCTCGTTTCCCCCCCTTCTCCCTCTCATTTCCCCCCCTCCTCCCTCTCGTTTCCCCCCCTTCCCCGTCTCGTTTCCCCTCCTTCTCCTCTCATTTCCCCAACTTCTCCCTCTCATTTCCCCCCTTCTCCCTCTCATTTCCCTCTTCCCCCTCTCATTTCCCCGCTTTCCCCCTCTCGTTTCCCCCCCTTCTCCCTCTCATTCCCCCCCCTCCTCCCTCTCGTTTCCCCCGCTCTTCCCTCTCGTTTCCCCCCTTTCTCCCTCTCGTTTTCCCCCCTTCCGCCTCTCATTTCCCCCCTTTCCCCCTCTCGTTTCCCCCCCTTATTGAAGGAATATATTAGAGAGCGTAGCGATAGCGAGAGAGTCTCTGCTATGGGAATGATGTTGCGCCAGCAACTTGGTAGAGTTTTGGTAGCGTTTGCCTCTAAGGACTTTGTGAGAATTGAAGTAGCATTTGGGCCAAGTAGAATTGCAATATCAATTATCAAACACACAAGCAAACACAAACATATATAGGCAAGCAAGAGTTGCACAATTGTTGCGTGGCGCTGCGAGTAACCCAACCCACACGAAAGTGCTGTGCAGGTGGGTGAACGCGCCCCGCACATTTCCAACCCAACTCGGCACCGGAATGTCTCACCGTGCACGCTTCTCCTGCCAACACAGCAAGTGAGCAGCGTGCCTCACAAGCAAGGCACCTACGACCCCCAAGACTCGTCATTCCTAGCACCGATTCCGCCGAGTTCGCTGCAGTAGCTCACAGTCACCCGTAGTCACTAGTGACCGCCACCGAACTCGCGAGTCGGTGCCGAGTAGACTCAGTCGTTAGGCGCCGACCTGCCAAGTCAAAGGTCATCGAGGGCCCTTGCTGTCGTAGGGCCCTCTAACACTCCCCTGCCATACTACAGCAAGGCCCTTTATAAGCACAGGGCATGCATACACACATACACACCAAAACAAAGGGATACACACAAACGAAACACGCTCAAAGTGTAAACACGCACCGCACCAGCCATGGATAGGCCATGGCACCATCCACATCATGGAGTGTCTAGGTCTTCACTCCCCTCACTCGAGAGCCGCACCTGCCCCACAGCCTCGAAGCAACGACTGAAGGCGGGGAAATGCAATGCCTTTGTGAGGTAGTCAGCAGGCTGCTCGCTCGTAGGGATGTACTGCAGCTGCAGCTTCCTGCGCTTGACCATGTGCTGCAGCCACATGTGACGACGCTCCATGTGCTTGAGGCTCCCCTTGAGCCCCATGCCACCTGCCACTGAAATGGCGGAGGAGTTGTCCACAAAGAGAGTCGTGGGCTCCTCACTCCTCAGCAGTTAAAACTCTGCCAGCAGGAAGCGCAGCCTGCGCGCCTCCTTCCCAGCCTCCACAGCAGCAACGTACTCAGACTCAGTGGAGGAAAGGGTGACGCAACGAATCCGCTGGCTCGCCCATGAGACAGCAGCACCCCCGAGCACGAAGACATAGCCACCAGTGCTGGTCCTGTTCTGCTTGTCTCCCGCATCATCATCATCAGCATTGTCTCATTTCCCCCCCTGCTCCCTCTCATTTCCCCCCCTGCTCCCTCTCATTTCCCCCCCTGCTCCCTCTCATTTTCCCCCCCTGCTCCCTCTCATTTCTCCCCCTGCTCACCCTCACTTCCCCCCTTTCTCCCTCTTCATTTCCCCCTCTCCTTCCCCTCATTTCGCCCTCTCCTTCTCCTCATTCACCCTTTCCTTACCCTCATCTCCCCATCTCGTTTCTCGCATTTCCCCTACTCCGTCCCCTTGTTTCCCCCTCTCCCCTCATTTCATCCTCTCGTTCCTCTTGTTTCCCACATTTCCCCTTATCCGTCCTCTCCTCTCCCTTTCTCCGTCCCCTCCTTTACCCCTCCTTCCCCTCATTTTCCCCTCTCCCTCCCCTCATTCCCCCCTCTCCTTTCCCTCATTTCCCCCCTCCTTACCCTTCCCTGCCCCCACCCTGCCGGCAGGTGATTGCGCTCATGCTGCTGGCGCGCGTGAGGGAGCTGCAGCGCCCTCACATGCTGCACAGTCCTTCCCCTCCTCCCCCCTTTGCTTACCCTTCCTTACTTCCCCCCGTGCAACCCTTGCTCCCCCTTTGCTTCCCCTCCCTTCCCCTCCAGCTTACCCTCTGTTTCTTCTGCAGCTTGCCCTTGTCTATAATTTTGTTTGTTTGTTTTTTTTTTTTCAACAGCACGACACGAAGGACATCAGGCCTTCTCATTCTGAGTGCTGCTCTTAGCAGCTTAGTGAAACCAAATCAATAGGCAGGAAGTTCCAGCTTGTGTGTGCTGTTAGCGTATCAATCAAGTGAATTGATAGCATAGCATAGCATGTCATAATACATTGGAAATGTTGATGACTGTACCTAGACACAACTTCCCTTCTTTGCGTACAGCATCCTTGCATGATGCACATGGGCACAGCACAGCATTGTATGCGACATCTGACGTGTGTTGTACTCAACTCAAGATACATGGAGGGTTGTCCCCAGCTCTAGCTGGTCATAATTTGTTCAACACTTGTTGAAGAGAGCTGAAAAGAGAGAAAGGCAGCACGAGAGGGGAAAAGAGGGAAAGGCAGGAGGATCGTGAAAAAGAGGGGAAGGGTAATGCAGGGAGGGGAAGGGTAATGCAGGGAGGGGAAGGGTAATGCAGGGAGGGGAAGGGTAATGCAGGGAGGGGAAGGGTAATGCAGGGAGGGGAAGGGTAATGCAGGGGGGAAATGAGAGGGAGAAGCAGGGAAAATAATGAGGAGAAGGGGGGGGAATGAGAGGGGGAAGGGGGGTAAACGAGAGGGGGAGGCGGGGAAACGAGAGGGAGAAGGGGGGGAAACGAGAGGCGGGAAGGGGAAACGGGGAGGCGGGAATGGGTAATGGGGAGCGAGAAGGGGAAACGGGAAGGTGGGAAGGGGAAACGGGGAGCGGGAAGGGGAAACGGGGAGGCGGGAATGGGTAATGGGGAGCGAGAAGGGGAAACGGGAAGGTGGGAAGGGGAAACGGGGAGCGGGAAGGGGAAACGGGGAGGCGGGAATGGGTAATGGGGAGCGGGAAGGGGAAACGGGAAGGTGGGAAGGGGAAACGGGGAGCGGGAAGGGGAAAAGGGGAGCGGGAAGGGGAAACGGGGAGGCGGGAAGGGGAAACGGGGAGGCGGGAAGGGGAAGTCGGGAGCGGGAAGGGGAAACGGGGAGGCGGGAACGGGAATTGGGGAGGCAGGAAGGGGAAACGGGAAGGCGGGAAGGGGTAATGGGGAGCGGGAAGGGAAAACGGGGAAGCGGGAAGGGGTAATAGGGAGCGGAAAGGGGAAACGGGGAGGCGGGAAGGGGTAATGGGGGGCGGGAAGAGGAAACGGAGAGGCGGGAAGGGGAAACGGGGAGCGCGAAGGGGAATTGGGGAGGCGGGCAAGGGGAAACGGGGAGGCGGGAAGGGGTACTGGGGAGCGGAAAGGGGAAACGAGGAGGCTGGAACGCGAATTGGGGTGGCAAGAAGGGAAACGAGGAGGCGGGAAGGGGTTGGAATGCAGTCGTTCGCGCACTCAAGTGCGGCTGCCGGGGCTAGTGCGGAAACATGGTAGCGAGGCTGTGCGATCGGACCGCGACTGTGATCGTGCGTGTTCGGCAGTTTGAGACGAGTCGTACGCGTTCACGGTGGCGTGAGGAGGCAGCGTCGTGAGGCGACACGACGGACGACGAGGCGAGGCCGTGAGAGGAGGTCCCGCGGGATCGCTGCGTGAGAGGGCGGAACTGACGTTGGTTTATCCCTATAATTACACTAAACTGCCCCACGCGTCTAGGTTTGTGTCGGAAACAAGGGTAATTTGCGCTGGCTGTTGAGTCGCGATGTGCTTAGCTACGTATTATGCTGCCCGTAGAGCGTACTAGCGTAGATCTCACGTAGGCTGGATTTCGTATACTTTTGTCGACCCAAAAGTTTTGAATCACCAGCGAGTGCTGGGTGTCGGGGAGATCTCCCTCCCTTGTTCAGAGAGTGAACTAGCTGTAATTGGGTTACCAATATTTCAAATTTCAAAACTTTTGAACCTCCCTCTTTCAAATGTATACAAAAGCTTTAAGTCAACTCACAACGCATCCAACCCCACCGTGCTGAGCCGGCCACCACGATTTCTTCAAGAAAAAAAGTCGGTGATGCCTGAACTGAACCACCACAAACACATCCCACTATGCGATAAGAGGCAATGAGTTGCATTAAAAGACAAACGTGAATATGATTCTGACCACCTAGTAACATGTGAATGTCTACATAATGATAGACATACTGAAAATACTAATTTAATCAACGTAAGTTACTTCTATATATTAACAGTGCACTTGCTTGGTTATCATCCCATCGCTGTTACTATCCAACACACATGTCAAATCAGGGTTCGTCGTTGCTAGCTGATCTCTCGAGCTTAAGTGCAGCATTTTCAAAATTAAAACGGGCTATTGTTATGTAATTCCGCATTAAAGTTCTAAATTTGCCGTTTCTCTGTGCAAGCAGGGATTTCATGCAGATCCTTCATTCTCACATCAAGCTTGCAGGTGCCGGAACAACTGCCGTCCTAGGTGGTCGTAGCAGACGGTGCGCATCTTGTTTCTGACACAGCGACGGGTCCTTCCATGTGACACGCCAAAGGTGAGCATCCACGCTCCCATGCTTGCGTCCTCGTTTACAAACATCCTTATCATGCGATCGTTATAGTAACTAAACCGTAAATGGGAGGAAAATAATTTGGGATTCAAATCAAGGAATCGTACCTGTAAGTGGACATCTCCCTCGTTACCGGTTTAGTGCATTGTCAATCGACCGGACGCATCCCACCTCGTTATATGACACGACTGTTAGAATAGCCCTAGGCAGGGGTTAGAAACCTTGGGACCCATGGCTAGAAGATAGGGCAAAATATGTTGATTGATTAGAAAGAAGGGTACAAGTAGGAGCAAGGGTGGCCAAGATGGTGCACCACCAACAATAAGAGTAACACTACACAGTAGCTACACTAGCAGGCAGTTATATGAAATGTATATTCCTAACACACCCCCTAACTGCCTGCAGTGGGAGCCACGTGCAGAGACATTTCCGTAAGGGGTACACCAGATCAGAGTAGCACAACGAAAGATGCAGCGGACAGAAAACTGGAAAGGGGGTAACGAGAGGAGGAGGCGCATGGCGCTGCAGATGCTCTCCATCACCCCAGCAAACACCCCCTAAACTACCTGCAGGTAAACCAAGTGTAGTGAGCACCAACTGAAGGGGTACACCAGAGCAGGTGCAGCAGGTGCTGCGGTGGCAGATGCAGCGTCAGCAGGTGCGGCGGCGGCAGATGGACTTCACTCCCGCCACCCCCTCACCCTCTTCCCCCACAGCAGCAGGTGTGGCAGTAGGAGAGAGGCTGGGGGGGGGAGGCGGCTGCTGCTGAAACACATCCGCCACCCCCTCACCCTCCCCCCCACAGCAGCAGGCGCAGCCGTGAGAGAGAGGAGGCGGACTAGCGCTGTAGGAGCAACCACCCCCCATCGCCACCCCCGCGTCCCCCCCACACCCTCCCCCCCTCCCCCCCCCAAACTGCTGCACGCGAAGCAGGAGAGGGAGGAGGAAGCGGGCGGGGTCGGGCAACGGGGACGACGGGAAGCGGGACACCCGCGGCGACGGGAAGCAGGGCAGCGGGGCGCTCGCGACGACGGGCACAGAAAACCGACGCGCGCTAGGGTGCGCGACGGGCAGAAATCCGACGCGCTCGACAGGCGCGCGACGGGCAGAAACCGACGCGCGCGACGGGCAGCGAAGAGGCGCGCGCTAGGGGCGCGCTACGGGCAGTACACGACATGCATGACTCACCTCGTCCCACCTTGGGAATGGTGGCAATATACGAATCAATAAGTGAGAGCATGCAAGTATCACCTGCATTTGGGGATGGCGTTGAGAAGATTGACTACGTCATAGGGGAGCATGTAGATGGCACATCTTTAGGCACATCTTGTACACATGCAGGACATACAATGCACGGCTCACCTCGTGGTAATGAAAGCACAATATCACTGCCCTTGGGGATGGAGTTGAGAATGTTGACGACGACGTAGGAGAGCGAGTACACGACACAGTAGGCACGAGTGACTCAGCAAGAGGATGGATGAGTTGAGAATGTTGACGTTGTCATAGGAGAGTGAGTAGACGACACAATATGCATGGATCACTCAACAATTGAAGATCATGGATGCATCACCTGCCCTTCGGGATGGAGTTGAGAGTATTGACGACGTCGAGCTGGCACGTCGCCACGCACTAAGATATACCCCTCGGGTTTGTCTCAACGGAACCGAAGGTCGACGATGGGTCGACGATCGCGAGGGCTCCGTGCCATTTGCCGGACGGAGGTTGACGTGGGGTCGCAAGCTCAGAAAGGCGGCTCGGCTCTATCAAACCGCGAAATTGGGCGGCGGATTTCGTCGGCTGAGGTATATCATGCCGTGTCCTCCTAGCAATGGCTGTTGCCTGCCTGTGTTGAGACATTCCGTACTACGAATCTGCGAGAGAGTTGACTCAAAACGCATCTAATCCAACCACGCCTTGACCCGAGCGAGGGCCATCTGTACACGATCTTTTCTCCGAGCAAGGGCTATTCCACTACGATTTCTTCTTCGAGAAGAGTCGGTGGTGTCGCTTGCACAATGATGCGATATAAGGTAACAAGATGCAACTACGTCGAAGGTAACTATGACTTTGGATACCTGGTAAGATGTTATTCCCTAATGATTGATCAATATATAGACAGAAGACATTCGATCTTTGCACTTGAAGTGCGTTGTTATATATCAACAGTGCACCTGGTGGGTGATCATCCCCATCGATGATCCAGCAGACATGTTACATCAGGGTCCATCGTTGCCAGTCTATTTCCCAGGGTTGCCAAGCATTTTCGAAACCAATATGGGTAACCTTGCTGTACTTGGGCTTTAAACTAGACTATCAATAGTACCGTAATGCATTGGTAAAGTTCTCTTTCACAGCCGTATCGCCCCGGATAGAAGCGCAGGCCTATGTTAAGCGCATGCGCTTATATCTGGAGCAATGCGCTTATGCCCGATCCTCAATTAGAAGCGCACCCCTTCAGAAAACATTACTTATTATAAGCACACCCTTTATATGATTTTTGTTTTTTGAACTG